GTGTGTGTGTGTGTGTGTGTGTGTGTGTGTGTGTGTGTGTGTATACCATCTTTTGGGGACAAATTTGTATCTAGAAGTAAGTTAAACCTGACAACATCTTCTAAAACCTCCTTTTGGGGATGTCCTCATTAATGGTAAACAAAGTTAAAATAGTAAACATGCTAAAAGTGTTCGGTTAGGGTTAGGATGTGGGTTAGGTTATAATATATAATATTTAACTAGCTGTATATAAAAAAAACAAATTCGGAAAAACATGCAAGAAGTCTATGCAATGTGCTCATTTAGCTAGGTAAACATGCGTGTCTGTATGTGAATGTTTTACATTATAGTGCTGCATGCATTTCAAAGGTACGTCAAACAATTTTCCTTGGCACTGGATAAACAAATCTTTTAAAAAGACTAACAAGTCCAGCATGTTTGCCAAAGGAAAAAAGAAAATAAATGATGTGCGCATGACTTTATGATTACTCCCATAAAGACTCGATCTCAACCAGGAGAAAAAACTCCTGACCTTGAACACAGAACATTCAGCATTCAGAGGAGAGGGGTTTGATGTTTGGAATGTTTTTGATCAGTTCTGCTCTCCGGTTTCTTATCTGGAATAGTCCCAGGAATGGCCATCCAGTCTCTGGCTCTGGAACGCAATGTGAAGGTATAAATCCACACCAAAGTGTCATTTATGAAAGAAAAATATTACAATAGGCTACATATTATTCCAAAGGGGGGGGGGGAACAAGACTAGGGACACTCACCTTCTTTAAATGGCCCATATTTAAACATATATTCAATAATACACATAATTAACATTATATGATTACAGTGACTTCTGATACAATAGGGATCCATGTGATTTGCAAATAGTAGGGCTGTGTAAATGACAGACAATGGTTGTGATTGGGCCTAGCTTTGAATTAAACCACATAATGGCAGATGGGTTCCAGGTGTGTGGTTGATGATGGGCCAGGGGTGGATCTGGGCATGACAAGAGCCAGTGAACCTCTGGATGGGCGTTCCAAGATGTTGGTGGAGAAAAGGAATGGCAAAAGTGCTTCCAATATGGAAATTAAGTATAAATGGCATCTAGGGAACACTTCCCATAACACCAGATGTACTCACTACATCATAAGAAGAATGGCATACGCTAATATTAGTCTGTTTCATCTCTTATTCCAAAGTCACCGTAGCCACCCAAATCCAGTCCGTTTCCAGACCGGATGGTGGATCAGCACCTAGAGACGACCTCTACAGCCCTGAATGTCAGCGGAAACCATGACAACTAGATGAGCCCTAGAGACAGATCCCCTGCGAAGACCTCATCAACTCTAAAAATGCTGAGTTGTGTCAACCCAACTTTGGGCCAAATATGGACTATCCCAGCTGTTGGGTTAAATTTTGAAATTAAATATTTAACCCAAAAGTTGGGTTAGTCCATGTTTGACCCAAAGTTGGGTTGAAACAACCCAGTATTTTTTAGAGTGACGACAATCAGCACAAGACCAGCAGCCTGGAATTAAACCACACCATGCTGGTTTCCGATGGAGTTTTGGTTCCTTGCCACTGTCGCCTTTGGCTTGCTTAGTTGGAGACACTTAATTCTGTAAATTTTGTCGGCTTGATTGTTCAGACACTGTTGGAAGAGAACTAAACTGAGCTGGATGATGACATCACTAAATCAACAATGAACTGACTTTAACTGAAAAAAACTGACTGTTTACTATTGTCCTCCTGCATTATCGGCACACTGTTTTCCTGTTTAACACTGTAAAGCTGCTTTTGACACAATCTGTATTGTATAAAGCGCTATATAAATAAAGGTGACTTGACTTGTTAAATATAGTGAATATAGTGACATATATGCCAGGCTAAACAGATAAGTCTTCAGTCTAAACTTGTGTCTGAGTCAATATTCCAAATGTTAAGTGTCATTTGAACAACTCCTCCTTGTTCCTCCTTTTGTACGACAAGCATTTACATGTAAAATAGATATTGCGACTACAGATCGACTTCGTCCAGTGTGTATACTCTGAAAGACAAAGGTGACACATACCGTTTATTTATCCGTCAAATATTTGAGTATTGTATTTTGATGACTATATCTTGACTTTTCAAAAACACGCTGTTCCTCAGATGTAACTGCGCATGTAAATGTACTTCTGGTTATTCATTGTTTAGCAGAAAATGTGATCTTTTTCAGTTTTACAAAGAGTGCACAAAAAAAAGTGTAAAACGTGAGTTAGAACAGTGAGGCATGATAGCAGACATGAACTATGGATTGAGTCCAAGTGAGGTACAACATAAGATAAGTATATCCATTCCCATCCTATATGGTTTAGGATGAACTTAAAGAATGTATTCATAATGATAAATTATTCAACTTTACCTGTATTCACCTAATGCCAAGTAGAAGAAAATTTTATTGAAAATGCGAATGCTAGCCGGAGAACTATAACAAGATATTTTATTGTTTTTTTAAAGCTGTTACACTATGAATAATGTGATTTATACAATTGTAATTTTATTTTAAAGTTTTTCATTCTTTCTTATATTGATGCAAATTACCCCAACTTGTAGGCCTATTATGTTATTGGGGTTAACTCCTCGTTAACATAAATTCTTGAAGTCTTCTAAAATGGCTGGAATTTAAACTAGAAAGATGTGCCCATAGTGTGAGTTCTAGACTAACAGAAGTTATTTATGTTTAAGGCTGGAATACACTACACAACTTTTAAAATGGGAACAGATTTAATAACACTGGGCATACACTTGCTGACTTTGTAAATGGTTACAGGGAAAAACTGGACATCATAAACGACTGAAGATCACACACTACTAGTTTCAGGTAATTAAAAAAAAAACTCATGCAGAAATGTGCACATTGCTAGACGACATGTGAGAAATTAAAATATGTGTTCTAAAATCTCCTCAAAATATCAAACATGTTTGATATCCTCCGACTGAATGCAATCATAGTCTGAAGCTAAAAATCAGTCTTGCTGAAGTCTTGTAGTATTCCAGAAAGTCAAATGCTGGGTCGGGTGAAACTAAATGCTATATGATAATTTATTCCTCAATTTGCTATCACATCTTCAGATTATCATTTGCTACAAAGGATACAGCTGGAATGCCAATCTTCACTGATCATCTACACACACAC